ATAATGAAAAAAATTTCTTGAACTCAAATTTTGTGAACCAGGGGGGGTGTCTTTTCCAACAAATTAAAAATGGCTCGCGCACAAAATTTAAAAGTTGTAATCATATTTTGAGTTAATAGGTGGCAAATTTGTCGGGTTTTTAATAACTGTACAAAATTTTAGACAATTTGATTTAGTTTAAGCCCTTTAACTATTCACGCGAATTTACATTTTTCCTAAAAATCAGCTTTTCGCATGCTTAATTAATGCATTTGCCTAATTTGCATATGTCAGCAATATGCAAATTAGGTAAAGGCATTAATTAAGCATGCGAAAAGCTGATTTTTTAGAATAAAATAAACAGTTAAACGGCTTAAACTAAGCCAAATTGTCTGAAATTTTGTACAGTAATTAAAAGCTCGACAAAGTTTCCATCTATAAACTCAAAATATGATTACATCTTTTAAATTTTGTGCGCAAGCCATTTTTACCCCCTGGTCCACAAAATTTGAGTTTGAGAAATTTTTTTCATTATTCTACATTATAAATACCCAAACAAGCTATCTATATATAAAACCGGATACAAATAGGTGTTTTGCGAAATTGAGAGCAATTTCAAATCTGTTCAGTTTTTTTTTATACACCCTGTATATATATATATATATATATATATATATATATATATATATATATATATATATATATATATATATATACCTTACTATATATATATATATAGTAAGGTATATATATATATATATGTAATATAAGCGAATCAAACAACAACGATACCAAACCAGACTATTCTATCACCCTTTTAAACGCTAGAATATCACACAATAGCAATTCTAATTGTGATATTACTTTCCTAACTATATGTTTATCCTAACCCACCCTGTCAACTTTCCCTGTGGAGGAAGCCGGAGCGACTCTTTTCACATGAGTCCACACATGAGTTCATAGCGAGAATCGAACCCACGATCTCAGAGATGAAAGGCGCTTGCTCTGACGACTGCGCCACCGATTGGGTTTCTTTTGGGCAGCACGTGGACATGTCTTCTTCCACTCTTGGTCGGCAAGAGGCTGATTTCAGATGATTGCGGTGGACCTCTTTAGGTTTCCGATTTCCTAATTCGGGCTCAACGTGTTAATTCGTGCCACCAAGACGGTTTAGGACCGTGTAAGGCTCGCACCACTGTAAGTGGAACTTTCGACTAAGCCCTTTTGGAACCGCTGTGTCGTTGAGCCAAACCCGATCTCTCACCTTAAGGCCGTTTTCCATTAACTTTCGCTTTGCCCGCGCGGGCGAAGCGTTCATTTAGGCCGTGGGCTCAGTTGTGCGATAAAGTGCCTAGAAAAGCAATTTCGTGGCACCCTCCTGGGAAATAGATTTTCTGTGGTTCAATTCATAGAACCATAGATGCTTAATTACCACAAAAAGTTCCCAAGCAAAAAACTTGCCCAACACCGAGAAAATGGGTGATCAGTAATTATCCTCTATTAATTAACAATTATTCGCCGAAGGCGAGGTGATTATCGGTGAATAAAAACCGAGACGAAGTCGAGGTTTTTATTCACGATAATCACCGAGCCTGAGGTGAATAATTGTTTTAGTATAATTTCATAGGTGATTATTTGGAAAAAAAATTAAAAATGCACATTTATTCGTCTTTTAATTGACAAAACGGCTTCGGCCGCCATTTTGAAAATCGCTTAGGTGATTATCGCGTAATAATCACCTCAACGGTAACCAATCAGCGTGGAGAATTTTCAATAATCACCTATGTAATTATACTAAATTGTATTACAGCAAGAAAATGTAAATTACAATTCAATTACAACAAAAATGATTTGCATTATCAGAAAGCTTACAAAAACCTACATATAAGACATTTAAACAGTTTTTTTATATCTAAAATTGTTTTCGAGTTATACGCTGTCAAAAACGCATTTTTGACCTAGTACCCAGTCCTTATTGCGACATTTTGGTCCAATTTTCACATTTAAAACAGCAATAACTCAAAGACTATTTGAAAAATCAAAAAACTGTTTAAAAGTCTTATATGCGGTTTTTTGTACGTTTTCCGATGATGCAAGTCATTTTTATTGTAATTGAATACAGAATTTCCCATTTTTTTGCTGTAATACAATTTAATATAGGATAATCATTGATCACCCATTTCCTCGGGATTGGGCAACTTTTTTGCTTGGGAACTTTTTTTGGTTGTGATGTACCTATATACCTTTCAAATAAACCCCAAACCAAGTATTTCCCACATGGGTGCCACGAAGCGAAATAATTTTAGCTAACAGCCCACGGCCTAATTGTTTTTGACACCCGTCACGCCCGCGTGAGCAGATCGAAGATATACGAAGACATGGCTTCCTTATTAGATAATCTGTCCATTGCCTGGTCAGGAGATTTTGATTCCTTAAATTTAAAGAAATTCACGAGTGACGAATTAAATCTAAACGGAAACTGGGAGCATCCAGGCGATATGATAACACCTCTATTACATGGCGAAAGGGCAAAAGCGTGCTGAATATTGAAGGCGTGGATGCGGGTAAGATTACTTATTTACTATGTGCCAAGCTGTGTAAAAACCTTGATTCTACTGACCAATTCCAAATATAAATTACTCAAACAGTTCATGCCAGAACTGACTCTGCTATTTCGCAATCCTGCTGTTGCAAATGTACAGATGTTTGTACTAGTATTCATCAACAGAGAGGCTATCCAAGCGATATCTGACTCTATCATCCATATTATTAAAATTATGACTCAATTTCGAGAGGATATTGATAAAAGTCGGGAAAATAATCGAGCTAATTTTATGCAAGAATTCACTCACGATCACAAGACAAACGGAATTAATGAAGCGAATGATTCTAACGCCCCCAATTTTAGTGTGAGTGAATCCCCCATCAAAACAACACCAATGTGACCAGTCAACAAAAAAATCCATCAATTTATAATCAGGGACGCCGGAACGATGTGAAGGCAAGGGGGGCAGATTCTCGTGAAAGGGCACTTTTGATATGATATATACTAAGAGATGTTTGCAAAACATCGGGAGTTGAACTTCTCCTAATCATGTTTTCTAGTTATTGGATGATAGGGGTGTGAGAGGGTTCTCCGCCAGGCGATTGTGCTATTCTTGAAGCTCGATGACTGCATTTCTTGCGTTTTCTGAAGCAAATTCGTAAACGAATAGACCTTTCTTAAGGCCCTGTTACACGGTGCAATTTTTCATGCAACTTGTCTCGCAATGTTTAAAAAAAGATTTTGACCATTGCAAGGCATGTTAAACTGTGCAATGACTCGTGCAACTTGTCTCGCAACGCATTGCGAGACAAGTTGCATGACAAATTGTCCGTGTAACAGGGCCTTTATAATTATGGCGTCAGCGTGCATAAGCTATTTTGTGACGTCAAACGCGGATAAACACTTCGTCTTCGATTTTCTTGTTTGTTTTGTTTTGAAAGTTTTTCTCCAGGAAAACCCCACAAAAGCGGTAGGTTTTGCTAATTTTATTTATTTAAATCAATTAGTAGGTAAGATGTGCATGATGTTCTCAATGCATGTTGATAAAATTTAGTGTATATTTCCCTCTTGAACGTTGTCAAAGTGACTGAAAAACAAAGCAGTAATGGCTACAGATACTATGACGAGAGATTGTCTCACTATTTTGTTTTCGATTTTATGTCCCTGTTTTACGGATTTTTAAACTATTTTTTGTGTTTTATTAAAAGTCAACAGTCAAATTATCCTACATAAGACATGCCATACTGCAAATCCTCTGGAAATTGTTATAATTCGGCCTCTAAAAAGAAACTATCCTTCATAAACTTCATATTCTGACCAAGGGAGCACGCCAGAAATATTTGTGTAAATTTATACTAACCTTTTAATTACATGTAAATGTTTTCAATTTTCATCGGGCGCCATTTTGAATGTTGAAAGCGGTATTAGCTTATCGCAGGCGCAATAATTTATGTTCATCTTTGACATTAATTTATGTTACACGATGATACTCCGAAGGGCGACCGAGAAAGATCCGAAATTTAAAATAAGGCGGAGAAATAATAAAAAATAAAGAGGGGAGTGAAACGGCCGAACTATTATCCACTGATGCTGGTTGACTGTTGCTAGGAACATTTGATGTTGCTAGGAACAAACCGGAAACAAAATGAGACCTACTATTACGGGAACCACTGAGTATTTACACTGGCCTGTAAGGCCAAGTGTCTTAAATCCCCCTTTTTCTGTTTTTTTCGTAGTCGAGAAATCGAGTTTGCGTTAGCTCATCGCAGTCTCAGGGTGCAACGATTAAGCCAAAAT